AAATCCACACAGAAGCTGTCTCCTCCCTAGCCTGAAATTATAAAACCATCGGACAGTTTTATTTACACCCAGATTCATTAAGGGGAAGCCTCCCCTCTGGGCATGTGGACCCTGTGACACCAGCTGAAGACAGTCTGAAGTCACAAAGATTTGCAAGACCCTGAAAACATTTCTTACCTCACCTTTACCTAATGTCACCATCTGTTCTGTATACATTTTCTACTTTCTATAATGGGACCATACAATTATACATGCACATGCATAATTTAAAAATGAATGTGTTAATTGGGGGTGAATGCAGAACAAAAGCTTTGGCTTGATGGGGTGTATGACCAAGGTCTGGGGGCACGCCCCAGGGACGCAGTGTGTGCCTGGCAGGCTGGCCGTGACAGTGCTCTCAACAGGCACAACAGTTCAGTGTTAACACAGGAGGAGAGATCATTTGCCACGTAAGCCCTACAGTTAACCAATCACTGTGCTGCCACTGGGGTTGGGCTGTCCATGGAGCTGGGCTCTGCGAACGGCCACCCTGGGACAGGAGGTTCTACTGACTTCTCATGAGTCGAAGTGTATCCTCCTAACAAACATGCAGAAATTCTGAGTATCTCAAGAGTGTGGACTTATTTGGAAATGGGGTTGGTGCACACCGGAACAGTTGGGCCCAGATCCAAGTGCACGGTGTTCTCATGAGGCCATGGAGTGTGGACACAGGTGCACATGGGAGAAGATCACACAGAGAGGAGAGTGCTGGACCAGCTGAGGACCTGCCGGAGCTGCAAGGCACTGGAACAGACCCTGCCCTGGCAATGCAAAGTGAAGGTGGACTTGCTGATGCCAAGAGCTTGACTTCCAGGCGTCAGGACGGTGAATCCTGTGATACTTGTCATGGCAGCCCCAGGACACCAGAGGCCAACAGCCTGCTGGGTCACTGCCCACTCTGATGCTCAGACTGCCAAAGGCAAAATAACCAACACTTCCTTGCTGGCACATGTGCTGAGACACTTCACCAAGGCCTTGCTGTGCCTCCAGACTGACAATGCTGATCCCCAGGCCTCCCTGGGGCAACCCCGACAGGAAGCACGGTCCCAATCAGGGCAGCTGGCATGAGAGCTTTGGATTCGGAGGGACCCTCCCTGCCTGCTGTACAGCTTCTCCTAGCAGAGACCTCTGTCACTCAAGACCTCAGACATTCTGAGCCTTGGCCCTGGGCACAGCTGTTACTGCAAAGTCAGGAGCCCTGCCCGCCAGCACGGGAGCCCAGCACGAGAGAATCAGCAGCCAAGTGGGACCGAGCATCCCAGCCCACTGGCATCTCCTCCTGAGCTTTAGGAGAAAGGGCAGGTCTGTTTTTAAGAGGCAGCTGGCAAGCAGGCTGGACACACAAGATGACAAGGAATCAGGGGCAAATTCAATTTGTATTGGTTCACCCCATGTATAATTAAAGTTCAAATATGCCAATCACAACTCCAAGATAATTTCTGCCAGGCCTATAAGCTATGAAATAGCTGGCATGCGGCTATGCCATCTTTTAACTTCAGAGCTTTACATTTTCTGTTTCTTATTTTAGTAATTAGCTTTACTAAGAGAAACTGTACCAGGAGCTAGTGGTTGGGACACGCACATTGTTCATCCAGGGCTTGGCTTCTAGTCCTGGCTCTGCTCTCGAGCCCCATTTCCTGAGGGTTGTACCTACGAGGCCGCAGTGACTACCCAAGGGGTTGGGTCTCTGTCGCGCATGTGGGAGACTCAGACTGAGCTCCTGACTGACAGCTTATGAAAAGGGGGTTTGCAGACACAGAGACAGACACACAAGGAGCCGAGACAACATGACGACATGGAGGACACCCTTTAGAGACAGAGGGCTGGCACGATGTGCCCAGAAGCCAAGAGATGCCAGGAACTGCCACACAACTCCCAGGAGACAGGGAGATCACCTGGAATAGACCCCCCAGGGCCATCACAAAACCGACCCCTTCAGCATCTGACCTCAGCCTTCTGCCTTCCCACCTGGCAGACAGAAAAAGTATCCTTATTTGAAGCCACCTGATTTGTGCTACTTGTCAAGCAGAGTAGGAGGGGAATACAGTATCCTTCTGGTGGCAACTATTTCAGGCACAGGTCATCGGTCTGGAAAAGTATCTCCCTACCAGATCATTTATTGGCAACAAAGGATAAAAGAGCAAGTTGACAGGGAGGAAAGCAGGCAGGCAGCATTCTGGGCAGGTGAGCCAGGTTGACGGCACTCTGTTGGGTGGGGGGACCTCACGGCCTCCAATTTGGTGAGCCAAGGACAGCTCGCTGTTCCTGTGCTAGCCCTGCCCTCCAAGCACGGCCTGGATCCACTGATGGGGGAACGGGAAGATAAATGCACAAATGAATAAATGCACAAATATATAAATGCCCTGTGTTCTGCAAACATATCCAGGTCCAGAGAATCTTCTAGATTGAACATGACTAAAGGTTAACTAAATAAAGATGTTATCTTGGACAATGTGAGTCAGCAGTGAAATAGCTGGGCAAGTCTAAATGCACTTTGCAGACAACATCCCTGTGTGAATGCTACTTTCTTGATTCTGATCATCACACAGTCCTTGTCTTTTAGTAAATATACACTTATATTTTACCTGGAATTCACTCTCAAATGGCTCAGAAGAAACTTCTCATAGACAGAGATATAGACATAGGTGATAGATTGAGAAAAGGAGGAAGAAATTGAGCTGGACGTTTTCCCAGAGAGGGGTTATGATGAGTAGTAACTGTGGTTCTGGCATCCTGTTGCAGCTTTCTGTAGAACTGAAGTGATTTCACAATAAAAAGTGTGTGAAATACCACCATAGATGATACAATGGCTGTCATTCACCAAGCGCTTCCTGGACCAATGAGCCACAATCCCAAGAGGCCTTTCCTTTAGTATGGTTCCCAGTGACCTCCAGCATAACCAGAGTCCAGGCAGAGCCGCTCTGGCTGAGAAGGGACCCGACAGCGGGAAGCCTTCACCTACAAGGCTCCGACAGACCTGGAGCCTGCCCACGGCACAGCAGAGCAGGCCAACAGACAGACCTTCCAGGCAGTCACACCCAAACCACCAGAAGAGGGTGGGTGCAATCTCAGGCATTTGGTGTTTGTGAAGACTTGAATCTAACTGTAGCAGTGCAGCCCAGACCCAGTTCACCTGTGCCTGCTAGGTTGACTTCTTCCTGCCCTGACAGGGACTCAGCAGAGGGAGGTGTGGCATCTTCTCAATGGTCTACACGTTCTTATTTCTCTATGTGCTGTTCTTATACACAGAAATTCTTATTTTAACTTAAGAAAATCAGAATGCAAAGGTCACGTGACTCTAAAGGAAACGTTAACAGAAACAGGAGCAGGTCCAGCTGACCTGGGTGTTGCGCTCATGAGAGGAGGCCTGACAACCATGATACACACCTAGAACAAGAAGGGGATTTGAGCAAAGAACAAAAAGTGTACATTTTAACAAGGCAAGTCATGTCATGTACGTCAAGGGAGCCCATCGGAACTGGAATGCAAAGTCGGGATGTGTCAGGTGCAGGGCCACAGGGTGAGAGACACTGCCCCTGCCACCCAGGAATATGTCAACTGGCTTAACAGAGAGGTAACTGGAGCGTCAGAGGAAGCAGCAGAAACTTTTCAAAAAATCATGGCCAACATATCTTCCTCAATTCATGTCAACAAGCCATCGATTCAAGAAACCCCACCCCCAAGTTAGATATATAGAAAGAAAAGTTACTTTGCATATCACAGAGAAACTGCTGACAAGGAAAGATTAGGAGATATAATCAAAGCTGTGGCGTGTTTTTGTTCACATAATAGCTTTTTTGATAATCCCCTTGTTTGTTTTCTCTGTAATCATTATTTTGTTTTCTAGTTAATGGGGAAGGAAGCCACCAAAGATGAACAATTCTTAGTCTCTAGGAAGAAAAATGGTTTTGTAAATGTGGATATCTGCAGCTGCTGAATGGACACCTGATACTATGCACTTACTCTCCTGGCTGGAGAACTCTTAGATCACAACACGAAAAAATACGAAACTGCAGGATTAGGGTCACGCGCATGATCAAGACATTTCCAAGAGGATAACAAAATGTATCACACATTCCATAAATAAATACGCTTTCCATATGTAAAATACAGCCGGCCTAGGGCTCTGCAAACCTTGCTGTAAAGCAATCATCAGACCATCTACTGATGGTGAAGCTGCGAAGGGATTGCACTGTGCCATAGGAACCCCAGAATCCTTCACAGAAGGACTCAGATAACAGTCTGTGTTGGTCCAGAGGTTTCTATAGAACATCACAGGGACGTGGCCTTCCAAGTTGAGATGGAGACTGAATCTAGCTTTGTATCACTTGTCTGTCAGGACAGCCTCCGTGAACCCTGCAGCAATGACCACTTACAGGTGGTGGGAGCTCACAGCTGATGTGAAGCACCTAGCAAGTGGTCAGAGCAGAGGCTCGGCTGGTAAGCACAGCTTCACGACTCAGAGTTCAGGAGCCCTGACCCAGGTGCTGCAGCTGGCTACTTGTTCGCTCTGTGGCCTGGGAAAAGTCACCTGCCTCTGGCAGCTGCTGCAGCAGCAGGGATTGGATCAGGGATGGTCGCAAACAGTGGGTGGGAGGACCGAAGGAATTCCCATGGACACTGCTTGGAGCAGGCCAGGTTCACTGCATTTTAACAGAATTAGTGCTGGTTACTACTAACTAGGTCGACACCGTCAGCCCCCCAGAAGGGCAGGGAACACCCAGTGACCTACAGGAGCTACAGGAATGTGGTCAGGAAAGACAGAACATTCTGGAAGCTCTCTTTGTTTCCTGCCTGGAGACAAAACCCTTGCCTCCTAGATTTGGGAAGGAAAAACACACAGTACAGGTCCCCATGTAGCCCAGGAGTTATCAGAAGCACAGGACAGAGAACAAATGTTAATATTTAACCAAATAATAGTTATTTGAAAGACGCATTCTGGCTTTGCCAGATTCTCCCACCTGGAGCTTTCCCATTCCTGGTCATCCTTGTCTTTCTCATCTTTACTGTCTCCAGTGTGTGGGTGTTTCTGCACAATTCGCATTCCACCAGCTTTCACTGGAATGAAAACAGAGAGAGTCAGGATTAATATTGGACTAGACATACTGAGGGCCAGGCGGCTGCTCGTGGCTGCAGATGGAGACCAGCAGTGACCACTCCCATCCTAGCCACGTCCCTGTGGTTTGGAAGACACGCTCTAGGACACAGCACTCAGTGTCACTTCTTACTCCAGGTCTATGCAGCAACTTCCAAGGCTTGCAGTTTCCCATCTGGTTGCCTTCCTTCATAGCAGCTGTGTAACCAAAAATGTTGCTGCTTGCTTTAGGATCTGTACATCTCCTGGACACAGATATCTTTGATGCTTTTCATGGGGTGCCATTGCTCTGGCTGACGTGGGCCAGTTATGGTGCCAGCCACAGAGCCCAGGGAGGGGCCACAGACACAGCCAGGGAGGGCTGCTGTCCCCAGCCTGTGCTTTGGAGTCCGTCTGTTGGCAGATGTCAGCTCTGTTTCTAGAAACAGCTGTATTGGTGCATGATTCACATCCAGTACAATTTGCCTGTGTTGGTTGTCCCAGCCAGTCGTTTTCCATGTATTTACACCTGTTCAGCCCTCATCACAGTCTGTGACAGTTCTGTGACTCCAGACTAAAACCCCATCGCCAGCAAGGGTCAATCTTGCTCTCCTCCCAGAGCCTGGTAACCGGGCGTCTGGATTTGTCTCTCCTGGGCAGATGACATGCATGGGATCACAGAGCAGGTGGCCTCAGACACCAGCTGCATCCCCTGTTTTTAGGGCTCATCTGTGTGGTGACGGCAGGAAGCTGGGTCCAGGAGTGGAGATGGAACTTGAACCCAGCCACTCTGGGACAGGATGCAGGAAATCCAAGTGGCATCTTAACGTCTAGGTCTAACGTCTGCCTCCCATTTTATTTTTCATGTGTAGATCTTGCATTACTCTGTGTCTCAAATTCACGAGGCTTATTTATTTATTATTCAGTGCCTTTATTTAATAGCATCTTTCTTCTTGTGTCTTCAACTCCTTTATGTGTTTTGTTGTCTTTAGGAATATGTGACTTACAGCTGCAGGGCCAGTTCCTTGTTCTCCTTGGTCCTGGGACATCTCTTACGACGGCTTTTTCTGTCTGTAGGTTCCTGGTCTTCTGCAGGTGACTGTGGCCGAGGGCCTGGCTTTCACTGCACTTTATTGGTGAGGATGTCATGGAGCCCACAGTGCCAACAGCAAGCCTGTTCTGTCTGACTGAGAATTTCGGAGCCTGTAGCTTGGGATCGACTGTTTACAGGCAGTATTTTAAATTTTTGTTGGAAAGTCAGATATACAGAGAGGAGGAGAGACAGAAAGGATCTTCCATCCAATGATACACTCCCCAAGTGACCACAATGCCCGGAACTCAGCCAATCTGAAGCCCGGAGCCTGGAGCTTCTTCTGGGTCTCCCACACAGATGTAGAGCCCCAAGGCTTTGGGCCGTCCTCAACTGCTTTCCCAGGCCACAATCAGGGAGCTGGATGGGACGTAGGACCATGGGGATTAGAACTGGCACCCATATAGAATCCCGGCCTGTGCAAGGCAAGGACTTTAGCTGCTAGGCTACCATGCTGGGCCCTACATGCAGTCTTAAACCCTAGATTCTCTCGGTTACATTGCCTGACACTAGAAATGGAGACCAAAATTAAATATTGAGGCAGTTGATGTAATTTCTCAGTCCCTCAAAATGTGAGATCTCAGAGGTATGAATGCTTTTGGCCAAAGGGAGAACTATAATTGTCCACTGGATGTACTTTTGAAATTCTTTCCCACCTCTCTTCACCCAATGCCCACCAGAAACTGATTAAAGATGGTGGCTGTGGGCTGAACTGTATTCTCTTAAAATCCATAGCCCAGAGTCCTAACCCAGTGGGTAACCTCAGACTGGGGCTAAGGATGAGGGATGCTCAAAAAGTTCATGGAAAATGCATACTGAAAAAGTTGCCTGGATTTCAAAATATTTTTGCACATATTAAAATTCCATTTGTCTGCAAATGCCCATTTTGAAGTGCCCTCCTGTGTTGAAGACAGGACCTTTAAGAAGGTAACAGAGTTAGAATGAAGCCATTAGGGTAAGCCTACTACTCCAATAGTAGTGGGGTCCTTATATGAAAAAGCAGAGCCTCGGGATTGCCATAGTGGAAAGTCGTGTGAGCGCAGTGTCATCCATGGGGTAAGGAGACGGGTCCTGGGAGACTCCAGCCCGCAAGCACCTTGAGAAATCAGTGTCTGATAACCAGGGCATTTTGTTACAGCAGCCAGCTAACTAAAGCAGGTGCCCACTTTCAAATGACCTCTGAATCACTGCAATTGGACATAGATAAAACTTTCCAAGTACAACTACTCGATGTGCTTCCAAACCTCCTGGAAGCACAAGAGGCCATGCAGCCACTGACACAGGTGACCGGCAGGGACTGTCAAGGTAGCGTTTGGAATTTCCAAGGAAAGCTGCACAAGTTCCCACGGAGCGGCCTGTCCCTTGCACTAAGCAAGAGTGCAGGCAGCAGCATTAACAGTTGCAGTTAATTCAGTTTCTAGAACAATTAACTTCATTAATCCCTCTCACTATGCTTGCTGATTAATGCAGCAATAAAAAGTGGCACCGAGAATAATAACTCAGGGCCAAGACAGACTCAGGGTAACCTGCGATGCTGGCAAAAATATGACAGCACGTAGTTACCGCGATTGTTTTCTGGTTGTCTCTAGAACCTTTCACTTGTCAAACTACAAAGGGAGAATTGTTGTGCTGCAGGAATCCTTGCAGGGTTATTTGCAAATCTAAGTCTTTTACGAGAGGCATTAGAGAACAAGATCTCTGATCTCCGTAGCAGTGGCTGTTACTCATACAGGAGCATCGAAGGTAAGAAAACAGCAAGCTTCCTGACAGCAAAGTGCTGTGCAAGAGCGGAAGGGCATGAATCCTGGAACCAGAGCTCACAGTCAAACCCCAGCTCCATGCATGTAAGTGCGTGTTTACACATGTGCACATAAGTGTTCCCGAGCCAGCTGTTGAAGCTCCCATCTGTACACACAGAGTGGTAGGGGACAACTGAGGATTAAACAGCCAACACACTGGAAATATCTCCAGCTGGGGCCTGGCATAAGGGATGGGCTCCCCCATTAGCCAGCCTTATCAAACATGTTTGAAAGCCCTGTTTACTTCTTGCAAAGACCTACATGGAGCTGAGATCCATCGGTTTTAAAATCTTTCCCCTGCAGATCCCTCCCATGGAAGTAGAGCTGGCAAGGCAGCTCCTGGGAGATGCCCTGTCAAGTGCCTGCCCCCTGGTGTGGACCATAGTGTCAGATGACTGTTGTGGGCTAAGGAGTTGATTAGTGCTCCTTAGCCTGGGCAGGAACAGGAACGGGGCTTGTGGCTAAAAACACCTAGACTAACTGGACTCATCTGTATCCAATATCCTGCTGAATGAGGATGTGGTGGAAAGAGTATATAAGAAGAGGTGAAGGGGCAATAAAGCAAGACTTCGCAGAGACTTCCGCCATCACTGGTCTCTTGTCGGTGCTTCATCCCCAGACCCGTTACTGGCTCTGCTGGCCAGAGCAGATGACCACTGCCAGCATGACATCACCATCCGGTGGGTAAGTTTCTGGGCAGCCTCAGGCTAACCCTCCCTCTTCTGCTCTTCTTCACTGTCATGACCTGTACCATAACTGCAAGGCATGGGGAGGGACCCAGTCACCCCAAACCACGTGGGATCCCAGCAGTCTGCCCCTTGATCAATTACAGACCTGGCTGGTCTTCCTTCCAGGAAGCAGAGAAGCACGGTGCAGAATCGGACAAAGCACTGGCTTGTCCGAGCCTGGCCATGATGGCTCCTGGCAGAGGGAGGACGAAGCATTTTGAGATAAGCAGCTCTCTGCAGAGCAGTGCTCTGTCCAAACAGTAGAGGGAGTGGAGGAAGCTGTGTCCACACCTGACCTCAGCAGGTGAGCAAATACGAAGGAGGCAGGTGACTGCAGTAGGTCCTGGGGCCTGGCAAAGAGCTGGGTTCCATGCAAGGGAGTATTAAGGCAGAAACAAAATCATTGCTAACCAGCTGACCACGAAAAAGACAGTGTTCTGGATGATTGGGGTGGGGTGGGCAACGGACCCACAGGGGTCTTGAGCAGTGGGAGTGAGTAGAACCAACAGGGTCACTGACGGGAGGAGCACAGGGGAGCCAGTGGCCTTTGGAGTGGAGCCAGGAGCCCACAAGTCAAGGAATAGGGGTAGCCTCAAGGAACCAGAAAGGGCAAAATATGAATTGTGTTTTTTCTTTCTTGTTTTCTGCTATTGTTAACAGAATACTCAATACCGGAAAGTCAAATGAAATAGGCTGGAGTTGGGGTGTAGCAGGCTAGGCATTAACTGCAATGCCAGCACCCCATTTGGGCACTGGTTCGTTTCAGCTGCTTTACTTCTGATCCAGTTTCCCTAACGTGTGGGAAAAGTGGCAGAAGATGGTCAATATGCTTGGGCCTCTACCCCTACATGGAAGACCTAGAAGAAGCTCCTGGCTGCTGAGTTAGGCCTGGTGCAGCCTTGGCCACTGCAGCTATCTGGGGAGTGAGCCACTGGACAGAAGATCTCTTCCTTTCTTTGTAAGCCTGACTTCTAAATAGACAAATAAGTCTTTCTTAAAAGTGAAATTTATTCCTTACAGTTTTGGGAAGCTGGGAAGCCTGAAACCAAAGTGCTGACATCTGGTGAGGAGCCATTTCCTGCTATGTCAGGACATGGTGCTGGGAAAACATGGCGAGATGAAACAAGTGTGGTGCTGAGGTCTCGCTTCTTTTTCTCTGTCTTCTTCGTGGTGTCTCAGTGCCCCACCCTCAAGGCTTCATCCTTCCAAAGGCCATGCCTCCGAACACCAACACGGGAGTTTGGGGATTAAGCTTGCAACACGTGGTGCTTAGGGGCACACACTCACACTGCAGCCTCCAGAGAACACGAGCCCACCAGCATATTCTCTTCAGCCTCGTAACACCCGTTTTGGACTTCTCACCTCCCACACGATAAGACAGTGAAGTTTTGTTTTTCAAATCACAGTGTTTGTTGTGACCTGCTATTTGCTACTGCAGCACAGAAACTGATTTGGTCTGGGTGCCACTTCTACGGTGCCATAAAGCCCATGGGGTCTTGCGTTGGGCAGCCCCTGGAAGCAGCTGCATGTCACACAGCTGCAGGAACTCCCAGGGCGAAATAGGCTTCAATCTGTTCACTGTTCAGATTTCAGGTTGTCCATGACAACAGCTGAGTACCACTTACCCTGTAACTCACCTAGCACTTTCTGCAGAAGTGAATATTCCCTTTAGCAACACGAGGTTTTTCATTGGGAGGCAGAAAGCACCCGCAAAAGCCAGCAGGAATGCTCAGTGCTTCGGCAGCGATGAAAAGCAGAGGCTCGTGATCTAAGGGCCGGGGAAGGGGGCCTGCACTTGTCTGGGGTTCTTAGGGTCCACCATGACTGGAAGTTTCTGAGAAAATGCAGTAACTATGGGGTGTCTTTGCCCTTGGCATGGTGGCCACTGAAGCAGCCCTCTCACTGCACCTTCAAGCTCTCGGCAGTAACAGGACGGGAACCGCGCGCAGTAAATCTAGGACGGTGGCCAACGGGACTCGACCATTCCCAGCCTTACATGAACACAGCCTCCTTCAGGACTGTGACCCAGGGAGAAATGTCACCGAAACCTGTCAAATGCATAGCTAACTCGTGTCTCACTGATTGAAGGGCTTCACCAACTGCCTTAAAGCCCCTAAAGAAAGCCAAGCCGTCTCCTTCCCGTCTAACTTCCAGTGAATACAGTCATGCTTGGATTTCCATCTGACTCAGTTACAAGAGGTCTGTGAAGTCTACTTTTTGAAAAAAAAAATCCTATGTAAAATCAGTATCTAGTTCAATTTGTGAGGACTCCAGTGACACATGGTCTGGCTCTTCCTGGGAAACGGAGGTGAACAGGGCCAACAAAATGTATTTACCAAAGAGATTCTGTTCACATAACTGCCAAAACTCGGGGAGCCTGGCAGGAGTGAAGAGCAGTGTGCCGGTAATGCTCCCCTCTGCTGTGCAATGCCATTACCGCTGTTAGATGAAACAGAAAGACCCTGGCTAATTCTAACTTTGCTAATCTGGTTCTGCAATAACTCCCATAAAATGGGTCAAATATTGTGCCGTGGAGAGAGTTGTGGCGGGGCGGGGTCCCAAAGCACTCCGACTGGACTACTTGGACAGCAGATGGTAGATGCCAGCACGTCCGTCCACATACAGTGCAGTGCCACCCATCAATCATGTTAGCATGCTTCGTCTCTGCACAACACCAGCCCCGCTCTTCCAAAGCCTTCACAAACGGCCTCCCTGATCTCCCCTCGGGAAGACGCCTGCGAGTCACGGGGTTCACCGTGAGGCTGTGGGGGTTCCCCGTGAGGCTGTGGGGGTCCCCAGGGCCAAAGGGCCTCCAGGCTGCAGAGGTATGCAGCAGACGCTCAGCATGGTTGAACTCGTTTTCCTAATGGCAGTGTCTTCAGCATCCCCGCAGTGGGGCGACTGCTAACTTAGTGGGTTAAAGTGCCAAGTGCTGTGCCTGCAAGCTGTAACACTCCACAAACTTTAGTTTGTGTTCCCAGGTAGCTTCTGCTATCTCTCTGGCTGACAGGGACCCCCACCCGCTTTTAGTCCCCAGGGGAGGAGGGCTGAGAAACAGGCCAGCTGCCAGGAGCAGGAAGATGAGGCCCTGGAGGGCTGCTTACTGAGCGCATGGTGCCAGGCACTGTGCCAGCCCCCGGACATAAGGAGAGCAGTAAGATCCAGTTTGTGCCCATGAGGAGCAGGGGGCAGACAGGCGGTGGCAAGCAGGGTAGGGACAGCGGGGGATGTCAGGAACTGTACGGTAGGGACCTGGTTGAGACAGCAGTAAAGAAACACAAAAGAACAGTAAGACAGACACAGGGAGAGAGTTTTATTATTTCCAATAGAGGATTTAAACACACGTCTGTTATCCAATTTAAGCACTTAATGAAAGCGTTCCTAAAGTTTTCGAGGCAGTTATTTTGATTTACGAGCCATGCTCTTGGCTATTCTTGATCATTATCCTTTATTATGGCGGGTTGCTTTTTTTTAATTTAATCTTCTCTGCAGAATGGTGCCGACTGTGGCAATGCCAGACTAAACAAGAGCATTAAGGGCTTCCTGCCAAGAAAGGCTCCCACACAGGGTCCTGTGGAGACAGTGAGCAGCTGACAGCGCTGGGGAGAGGCCCCTTTCTAGCAGACGCCTCGCCTGGAGCCTGGGGTGCGGGCCTGGAGCCTGGGGTGCGGGCCTTCCTGCAACCTGGCCTTCCTGCAACCTGGCCGGTGTGACTAGATTCTCAGCCCCTCCTGGACTCGGCCCACAGGCTGCAGAGCTGCCCTGAGGTCCTGGGAGTCCCCAGGGGCCTGTGACCCAGGCGGGCTGCACGCCCACATAGAGCTACACAGAGCCATGCTTACAAGGCAGCCCCACCCTGCCACTCGCCTGAAGCCAGCCAAGCCCTGCAGAAGTGGAATGACAGCACTGGCTTCAGAACCCAAGTTCACTGCCACACCAGTGCAAACAAGTTGCCTCCCTTCCCTTTTGGTAAAAATCCATGATTTAATCTCTAATTGAACAATTCAAAGAAAATCAAGAGTCCTGCCTGGACCTTCCCCCAGGGAACCAGCATGCTCCTCCCTCAGCCCCTGCAGGGCCCCATATGGGTATTCTCCCGGTAACTGTTACCCCATCTGGCTTGCTCCAGTGGACACTTTGTAAGGCAACTCCCTGTCCTGGACAGTGCCGCCCTAAGGCTGGGGGCGCAGGCCCGTCAGGAGCTGCAGGTGCTCCTCCCTGCCCAAGCCCAGCTGGGTGGACAGCCGGGCCTGGACCCCTGGGACTGCAGCTAAACATTCTTTTTTTGGAAGGCCCAGGGCCTCAGGTCTCCTTGTGAGGAAGGAAGAAATACAGTAAAAGATATAAAGCCATATGTGTGTGATGGGCGGGACACAGGCAGACACTCCAAAGCCCCAGGCACAGCCCCTGCTCTCACTCCCAGCATCGCCCTGTCACTCACCCCGGGACAGTCTCCTTGGCTGCTCTGATTGCACTGTAAGACACGGCAGGCGGGGGTAGGAGGAAGTGAGCCTCACGGCCAGGAGACCCCGGTGCAGAGGCAGACCCCGGTGCAGAGGCAGACCCCGGCGCAGAGGCAGACCCCGCACGCGCTCCTGGCTGACCTGCCTACCTCGCCTGCAGCTGTAGTCTGCACTTTTCGGGGACTAGGACCCCTGTGCCAGCCAGCAGGCTCCTGGAGCACCCTCTCACCTGCATCCCTCCTGGAGGATCCACCGCTTTGCGTTCGCAAAGGAGAAATGGGGTCTTAGAGGCCTCTGGGGCTGCGGCAGGAGGGGGCGCCCACAGAGAGGCTGCCTACAACCCCACTTTCTCGGGGGATGGGGCTCTGGCTAGCACGGGGCCAGAAAGTGTAACACCTGCTAAATGAGAGAGAGAGAGAAGAGAGAGAGGAGAGAGAGGCAGGCTGGGTGTGGACGTGGACGACAGTGGAGGTCGGGGCCACTGTGATGACTGAAACGCTTTGCGTGGCATTGCTTCTTCAGCAGGCGCGGGGCGCGCTGTCAGCCTGCGGCGCCGTGGTACTTTAGGCACTGCCGTGTAACGGGCTGTTACCTGTACATTTACAGATCGCTGCGTTCTCAGTAACAACCCCCGCCTCCACCACTTTCTGTCGTGTTCTCTGAGTCTGGCCACACCCCCCAGGGGCCCTGCGTGCGCCCGCTCCCCGGGGTCTGCGTGGAACCCGCGGGAGCCCCGGGCGGAGCCCGCACACCCGAGTGCCCCGGCGCAAAGGCCTCAGCAGGGAGCCCTCCCCGCCGAGCTCCCGCGCCCCGGCAGCCGCGGGTTCGAGCCCGCCCTCGTCGCCCGCGCCAAGAGAGAAAGTGGAAACGATCGGTACCGGCGGGCGGGTGTCCAGCTTTAGTCTCTAGTTTCCCTTCGGGAGGCGACGACATGATGCCACCGGGTTGCCGAGGGCCAGGCGGACGTGCGCGCGTGTGAGCGACGCGGGCGCCGAGCGGGCAGCGGGTAGCGGGCAGCGGGGCGCGTGCCCGCGGCGCGGGGCCGCGCAGGGAGGCGGAGCCGCCGGGGGCGCTGACGTGGCACCGCCCCCCCGGCCGGCGGGCATGCGCACTGCGCAGCGCCACGTCGGGAGGCGCGGGGCGGCGGAGGAAGAGGCGGAGGGGAGAGGCGCGCGCGCGGACAGCGCCCCCTGGGCACGCCGGCGGCCGCGGCTCCACAGGCCGACCGCCAGGCCGCGGCTCCTGAGGGCAAGCGAGGCCGCGGTCGGGGAGCGCTGGCGTGTGGTCAGCGGCCGGGCTCCGCTCTGCCCAGGCCGCCTGGCGCGACGCCCGCGGGTCGGGGCAGACCCCGGCCCTCGCTCCTGGTCACTGGGCCCCGTCCCTTTGCTGGAGTCACACTTGGATGTGGCTTTGAGGTGCTCCTCGTTGACTTGACAGTGAAACTGGACAGGCTCTCCCCACTCCTGCTCACTTTGCGGGCAGCCCTCCCGCAGCTGCCCCAGGCACGGAAGGCCGTGTGTCCAGCTCCGTGCTGCCAGATGCAGTGGTCACTCGGCCGGGCTTCTCTGTCCTCCTCCTCCTCGCGCTTTGGGGGTGATCCGTGGAGGCTCTGTGGTCCCGTCCTCCCCACCCTGGCTGCCGGCAGCCCACGGGGCCAGCTCTCGCAGTTTTCTCAGTGTTGGAGCGTGCCCAGCCTCAGCGTTGGCACTCTGTGCTAGACTGGACTCTAACCGCGGCCCAGTGCTGCTGCTGTACCTGAGGCTGAGTGGCTTTTGACGAACACAGCTGCATTTGCTCCACAATTCTAGCGACCGGGAAGTCCCGAGAGCACGGTGCTGGCACCTGGCATGGACCTTCATGTTCCACCATCCCATGGCAAAGGTAGGGGGAGAGCAGGGGCACTCCTCTGTCGAATGTTCTGGCACTCTTATGTAGCAATCCATTCCTGGGGCAGAGCCCTGCTGGCCTGCTCACCGCTCACAAGGCCCCATCTCGCCGCACTGTGACACGGGACTGTGTTTCCAATACACGAACTTGGTGGAGCACACTGAAGCCTTTAGGGGTGCGGTCCTTTTCCAGTGGCTTACAGATGGCACAACTGCTCTTGCTCCAGGTGCAGTAACCCACTGCCCGAGTCTGCTCTCTAGTCTTTTTGGGTCCGGGCACGTGAAAAATACATACACGGTGAGCCGAGCCTCCCCTCTGCTGATGGATTGGAGCATTGCCGCCAGCAGGTCAGCTGTTGGCCAAGTGGCAGGCGTGATATACTTGTCATTGTCTTGCCTTCACGTGGCAACTTGCAGACTGGTGACAGCTGCTTACGAGAAAATCCTGAAATCAATAATGGAATTATTTTATGAGATGTTACATCACTCAAACTCTTGATGGAACAGAGAAAATAGTGACTTGGGTTCTGAATGGATGGAAGCTTTGAGAACACCCAGCCAATTCTTTGAATGTTTTCTTTTTTATGTCTGTTCAAAGGTGCTGAGGTATGTGGTTATGCTTTTAATAAATCTCTAAGAAGTATAGGATGAGAATATTACGTTGAAAGAAAACCCTTTATTATAGTTTAATTGATGACAAATTTTCCCTTCTTAGTAATATGAGCCATGACATGTTAGAGCTAAAATAACATGTTGTATTGCTAGGGAATATTGGAATGGAAGAAGGATCAGAGGCCCGGGAGTTCTCTGTGCTTCTGAAGGAGAAGCAAGGCCTAAAGGCCAAACACAGGCGCTGGGAGCCCCTGTGGGTAGACGTGAGAGAGCCCAGTTTTTGCCACCATATTGGCCATACATTTCAACATATTTTGTGAGCCACAAAATAGTAGCAAATGCACTGTTTTTTCAGAAAGGGGTTTTTTTCATCAGCATTCACGAAATACACGAATTGCTCCATGGCGTGTTAACCTGGCGTGTCAGTCAGCCCAGTGCACGCTCGTGCCCTATTCCCGGCTAGCCCTGACTTCTTATGCTATTGTTGGATGGATGAAAAATTTTACATTCTTTTTCATGGAACAAAATTTCCTTTCTGCCGTTGATTTGGTTCTGAAAGGGAGGGCAGCATTCTGTCCTGACTGTTGTAATCCCTAGGATATTCCTATTCAGGTGCTAATTAGGCTTCAAAGAATATTAATTTAAGTATAATTTATTGAGCACATACACAGTATTTGAAGAGGAAACGAATGTTCCAAAGACAAATAAAAAAAGATGTAGTATCTCTCTCTCTCTCTCTTCCTCTCTCTCTCTCACACACATGCACACCTGTGTGTAAAATTCCTAGAAACTTCATTGAGCCTCAGCTTGTCACTTAATCACCAGGTAATTGGAAAGCACTGAAGAATTTTTCAAAGATCATCCAACAGTTAGGTAAAAATGTATAAGTCAATTTCAGCCACATTTGGCGTTATGCTTTAGTTAGGAATATTTGAAGGAAAAAAGAACCAGCTTCAGTCTGGAAAAAAGTACTCCTCCTACCTAGAAGTTAGACATTAGAAATTGCTAAAGTATAGACTTTCCAATGCTTCATAAATCATGTTGAAAAACACATGATTAGCAAAGAAACAGAGGGAGAAAGGGATACTGGTATTTCAGGCATTCCCATTGAGTTGTTATTTGACCTTGTATAAGGTGTTTACATATTGTGTAGTTATCATTCCATACTGGAGGTAGTAATACTCATCTTATTTAGGGATTTAAACAGTTATTCAATATTATGTCTTAATATATATATATATTTAGAACATTTCTTACAAGGATTTGTGATTTACTTTAAGTTGAAAAGTAAACATGAGAGGGACCAGTGCAGTAGCCTAGTGGCTAAAGTTCTCACCTTGCGTGCACTGAGATCCCATATGGGTGCTAGTTTGTGTCCCAGAGGCCTCGCTTCCCATCCAGCTCCCTGCTTGTGGCCTGGGAAAGCAGTTGAGGATGGCCCAGAACCTTGGGACTCTGTATCCATGTGGAAGACCCAAAAGAAGCTCCTGGCTTCAGATCGCCTCAGCTCTGGCCATTGTGGCTGCTTGGGGAGTGAATCAATGGACAGAAGATCTTCCTTTCTGTCTCTTCTCTCTGTATATTGACTCTGCAATAAAAATAAATAAATCTTTAAAAAAACACAACATGAGAAAGACCTCAAGAATCAGGTTTTCAACAAGATGAAATAATGAAATAATCTCAGAGAAGCCTGTAATTTGGAGTTGAGGAATAATGTGCTTTTGTTATTTTGTTACCCTATTTTCTTTTAACACATTCTATCCATAAGACAGTCTGATTTTGTGGCTTAGCCCTCAATGCCTTGGATGTTTTCTTCATCACTGGATAGAGCCAGAAGCTTTGGAAGGAAGCTGTGCCATTGTCATCTGATCATGCCAAGGGCGCACAGATGGGACTCACACTTAAGATGGTGACGTTGGTCTTATTGCTGGCAGGCAGGCTTTCAGAGAGTCCAGTTTATTGCCAGTCAGTGTGAACATGGAGTAAACTCTGTGTCATCATGATCTTAAAGCTTCTGTTAATTGCTGCGAGTCTATATTCAATGTATATCCAGGAATGATTCTGGGGGATAACTAGGTTTTTTCCCCCATCTTAGCTTTCTTGCCTATGTCTGTGCTGAAGTTAGAGAGCAATTTCTCTAACAAATTTAGAACCTTTTTATCCTGCTTAAATTCCTTGAGTTTTTTTTTTTAAACCATCTTTCTTCTCAGCAAGTGATTTCCCAGCCTTGATTAATCATTCTACTCAGGCGGAAGTATCTGTGCAACTTCACAAGCTAGAAAAGGTTGTAAATAATGGCTTCTGTCTGATCTCGGTCCTCAGAGCATTTGCAGAAAAGCCAGTTAGTTCTGTGCCTGCTCTGTTTCAGAAAAAACTCTGAGCTTGGGGGAAATACAATTGTTGTTAATCCAGGTAAGAGCAAACCTCGAGCCCGTGCTCTGGGTTTGCAGGGATCCTCTGGGGCACTGTTGTGGGGCTTCTCACTGACACAAATTAATAAACTACCTTTGGCCGTGGAAAAAGTAAAGGAAAATATACAATTTCAGTAGCTCACTGGAGACTTAACAACATGACTATTCATCGCCTTAACCAAGAACCATGGGGCGTTTGGGGAAAGAAAAGCTGTGCTCAAGCATTTCACACAAGGTTGTAGCAAAGGTATGGCTCGACGTTACAGCGCTCAGCACCAACACCAGATACGACATTTGCTTATTTATTGCTCCTCTGTCTCTTAAAGGTGTTATTCTCCTTTTCTATTTTTTTTTTTTAAGAGAATCAAACCAACTCTGAGGTTTTACTGGAACGTTTACATGGCCTAGGGGACCTCCTGGAGTTAAGGCCAGCCTCCTGTAGTGAGGAGGAAGGAGGATGGAAAAAAGCCAGTGCCTGCCCTTCTCTCACCTAAATGAAGAGGGGCACTGCTGGTGGATGACTCAGGAGGATGGGGCTTCCCGTGTGGCAGTGTGGCATGGCCATGGCATCCGGAATTGGCCACACACTGTTCCAGTTGTTTCTCTGTTGCCATTTTTTTGGATGACATAAGCATTTAAATTGGTGAGCTTTGAGGAAAGTTGGCTACTCTCCCTAATGTAGGTGAGCCTCATTCAATAAGTTAAAGGCAGGAACGGGAAAAAAGACCGACAATAACCTCATGGTCAAAGGGACCGATTCCCTGCGGTAGACTCTCTCTGTGTCTCACACACACACACTCTGTAGGTTGTTTATGTAGAAGCATGTCTAACACACTCTGTCAGGTTCCCTTCTCTTGGATGTCCAGCCAAGATGGGATGCAGAAAGCATACAGCACCCTGGGGCCTCTATCTACTTCAGTCCGGGGGTTGTGCTGTAAGTGGCCTTTCTGGGGGCTCATGATTAATGTGAAGTGGACAGAACATTTGCTACCCAAGGAGCTTTGTTAATCGACTAGCCAGTAAGACAGTCTCACGTCATATTAAATGTGCCTGTGCTCATTATCTATGGTAAGCTTCTGAGTCCTCCTGT